GTGGCTAGAACTGTTCATTTTATTGGTGAAACTAGTCAATTTCCTTGTAGATTGTTCAGACTGGCCAATCTCCTCATAGGAAGATGAGATAGCTAATCCCCCTGTGGGTAGGCTAACATGCCTTATTTGCATAGTCCCTCCCATCCACGTGGTCAGGTCAGATTCAGATGGCTAGGAAAGTCATATTGAAATGTACACTCCACATTCTTATTGAGGGTCTTCTTTTTCGCTGATCCTCCACTTTACCCAGCATAATGTTGTTGGTTTTTTCCTATAGATTGGCAGCTCCTGACCACATGCCCAAAGTATATGAGATGAAATTTCCCTATCCTTGCCTCTAAAGAACACCCTAGTTGCAAGGTCCCTGAGATATATTTATTTGTTTGCTCTTTTGGCAGTCAATGGTATAGTCAGTAGTCTTTGCCAACACTACAGTTCAATTCTTCTTCTGTCATCCTTACTTACTGTCCAACTTTGTGATGCATAGGAAGCTATTGAAAGTACGATGGCATAAGTTAGATATACATTAGTCTTTAAATTGACATCTTTGCTCTTTAGCACTTTAAAGAGGTCCTTGGAGGGAGCAGAGCGAATGGATGGATGGATAAAGTGAAGGGAAAGGGCGTATACAGGCTGATGTAAATAATGATTATATTAATGATAATCATTATATAATGGTAATTATTGTTATGAAATGAAATGTGTATAAGTGACTGAATGAAAGTAAAAAAAAAAAAAAAGATCCTTGAGAGCAGATTTGCTCATTTGCAATTTATCTTTTAAATTTTATTTCATACTGGTTTAATTACAAATTCATATACATTGTTTTTCACACCCAGCCTTTCCAATTTCCTTTACTAATACCTCTCTTTGTGCATCACATTGTGCAACCCTATGTTTAAACCACCCTCTCCCCTACTTGGATCCTATACATGCTCTACAATATTTGTACATGCTATACAGTATTTGTCATTATGAGACTGAGTTAGTTCACTTAGCATAATGCTCTCTAGTCCTTCCCATGTTAGGTAGTAATTTACATGCAATTTGTCTTTTGAGTGTGTTCTGCCACTAAGCACTTACCCTGTATCAGACAATGCTCTGATGCTAATCGCAGCATTTTTGAGGATCCATTATTTCAGAAGTGGATGGCCAGTCCTACTGAAGCTTTTCCACTGTGGGTAACCCTGCTGGTATTTTAAATGTCCATGGTATTGTTTTAGTACCACAGTAACAAGCAACCTACCATAATATAGCAAACTTACATATAAGTGATGAATTTAAAAGTACAAAAGTTATAAATTTAAGCCATTGGTATTCGTGCAAAATTACACAAATAGATTTAAAAATGTGAAAGAACATTCTAAGATTTCTGAAAATTCTGTCTTCACTGACTCTCTGATTTATCTAGGTTGCGGTCTCTGAGGAATCCAAGATCCACAACTTTATAAAACCCCAAAGCTACACTCCATCTCAAGTGAAAAGAATTTAATATGGTTGATTTCATAACTCTTATGAGACTAAGAAATTTACATGCCATGGGTAACCTGAGTTTTATCTCATGGGGACATGATGAAATGCATAAATGTTTTCATTTCATCTCTTAATGAAATTTCTCACAGTCTAAAATATTATGTACTTCTCAGCAGTCCTGTGAAGTAAGAGACAGAAGACAGTGTCTGGTGAGTTGAAAACTGCAGTCACTGAGGCAGGAGAAAAATTCTCCACTGGCTCTGGGATTTTAGCAAAGAAGGTAGCCTTAAGTAGAGCTGGTGTGCTGAAGGCCACAACACTGTAAAGAAGTGATCCTTCTGACAGCAATGATTCCATAAGAACCGAGGCCCTGGTAAGAGATTATTGATTTTTAGGGCACATGAGCTTATGTTCCAAGTCATAACAGTAGGGATTTTGAAGGAATTCTTCAGTTAGAAGAACTGAAATCATCAGAGTAAGTTTTGAGTGAAGCTGATGATTTTCAATTGTATTCTCTTCCCCATCCCCTCTTTTAAAATGTTAGTTTTATTTTCCTCTTCTCTTAAGTGTATTTATGGAAATAGTTTCCTCTCTTGTTAAATGTAATATTGCAATACTGACAAAATAGACTTACTGTGAGAGGACGGTGAGCTTGTGTTCTATAAACTAGCTGCAATCTAGCCTAAATTATAGAGGCGTATTGGGCCATTCTCAGTCTACCTGCTCTTCAGACCACAGACAATTATGTGGCCATTGTTTTAGAAAGATTTTAAGAAGAATTGGAGTTTTAACCTTGATTTCCCGTGCTTGTAGGAATTAATTTTGCATTGGACTTGGAGATGTAACTCAGACCATGAATGATATGGGATGATTTGTACTTTGAGAACTCTTTACAGTTATTCTAAGGAGATATCATTTTTCTACTTGGCTAATTTATAGCTTTGTCAATAATAAAACTATTTTCTAAGCAAGTGAGTTCATTATGTATTGACAAGAGTCCTCATAGAAAAACACAACAATAAAAGAAAAAGGGGAAAAAATTAAAAACTAAAACAAACAAACATGCATGGGGGAGGGGGGAAGAAAAGAAAAACAAATAAAAAAGAACTCTAGTAGAGAAATCATGAGGAACTTACATGTCTTCAGCCCATTGTTCCTTTCTCTACAAAACTACTGATCTTTTCCAACACAGTAATAGAGAATTGCTATGGTTTCTTTACCAGTTCTACTTCTTTTCATAAAGGCTTTTGAATGATTAAAATGAATATCAGAGAGGAAAAGAACCAAGTTCTTTAAAAAGTGTTGTAAAATTGAATCCCATTCTGCTCTGCTTCTCCAGTGCTATGCTCCCTGCAAAGGAATTAATGATTTCCCACACAAACTTGGGACTTAGAAAGCATTGTTAGAGCAAAGGTCATCTCTAAAGGTCAGTCTCACTTCGTTAAAGCTGGAGATTTCCACAGATTGAGGGTAACCATTGACAGACCGGAAATTGACAGACAAGAAATGTTTTACTTATTCTGTATCTCATCTGCAGGAAGTAAGGTGAAGTTGGTCTACTTGACTTCTGAGTCAAATCATACTGGTTGATAGCTATTAAGAGATATTATGCTGCCAAGTTACTGATGGATAGAGTTGTCATCCTTTATCATAAACTTAGGGAACAGATTTTTCAATGTGGATCACCAAAAATTAATCCAAAACCACTATTGTGGAGTTTGTTTTGGCTCATAATCACCCTCCATCAGTTTTCTGAAGCTGTAAATCTTTATGGGTGGAAACTCTCTTTTCACCAAGTGCCTGTTGTATTCAAGCTCTGACCTTTTTGCTAATAGACTAATATGTTACACACTACACTTTCAAAACATTGCCACTAAAGTCACATATCACACCTGAACCCAACTCAGGGGAGTTTGCTCCCTCGTCCCTGTATATTTTCTGTGGGAGTGATTCATTCTCATATTTATATACAGTAGGTATGTAACATAATCTGAATCCTATTTCAATCCAGTGTAATACAAATTTACATGTCACCCATCAGCTGAAATCTGTTCTCCCCCCACCAGTTTCTTTTTTTCTATTCTAGCTTTAAAAAGTTTACTATTGTTGCTATGAATATTGCTGTTGTTGTTGTTGTTTGGTGCCTTCAAATCGTAGACGACTCATAGCGACCGTATGAATGAATGGCCTGAGCACTGTTGTGCATAGAGTTTCCGGAAGCAAGCCATTTCGGAAGTGGATGCCGCTCCTGCTTCCAGGCTTGCTATGAATATACATAGCGAAATATTCACTAATTCAACATTCTATATCTACAATTTAGTGGCACTGATTACATTCTCCTCAGTCACTTTCACTCTCCTTTTCTGAGTTATTCTTCCTCCATAACATGAACAGTGCCCTCTAAAGTTCCCATCCAACCTTTCAAAATACTGTTGTCAGTCTGATTCTAGATCATTTTTTAAAGTTGTTGTTATTGTTAGGTGTCATCAAGTCAAGTACAACCATAGTGACCTCATGAACAACAGATCTGATCTCTGTCCTATCCTGTGCCATCCTCACACTTCCTGACACGCTAGAACCCATTGTTGCCATCACTGTGTCAATCCTTGAGGGTCTTTCTCTTCTTTACCAACCCTCTGTCTTTCTGAACTATCCCTCTCCAAGGAATACCCTCTCCCAGTAACATGCCATATGTATGTGAAGTGAAACCATCATCTTTTCCTGCAAGAAACACTCTGGCTGCACCCTCTCTAAGGCAATTTTTTTTTCCCTTTTGATGGTCCATGGGAGGTTCAGTGCTCTTTTCCAACACCACCACTCAAACATATCAGTTCTTCTGTCATTCTTACTCACTGTCCAGCTCTCAGAATTCTAGCAAGTGATCTGAAAGACCATAGCCTAAATGAAATACACCTTAGCCCTCAAACTGACATCATTCCTCCTCAAGAATATTTTTTATTTGAGGAGGCACTTTTTACTTTTTCTTCATCTTTACTCAGTCTTTGGTTTATCGTATCAAACTCATTATCTGAGATATATATCTATATCTATATCTATATCTATATCATCTATATCTATATCTCATTAGATATTTTAAATATTTTTATCATTTCCTATCATTTTTCCTTTTCCTCTTTCCTTCTCCCTTTTAACTTTCTCATGTTTTTCTTTTGAACTAGAGCCTATTCTAAATAATACTCATTGAGAAAGAACTACAGTTACTTAGATTTAACCATATGAAATTGTCCATCTTCAGGTATTTTAACCTACAAAATTAATATTTTCATTTGATTTGTTAGTAAACACGAAATGAATGAGGTCCATAGAATGAGAGGGTCCACAAAGTAGCTAGTTTTATAGGTGCCAGCTCATCTGGGGACAGGGTGTTTTAATTTACGAGCTCTGAACATGACAGTTATAATTCCCAGCTTCAGCACCAGAGTAGGATTGTTAGTTTTCATAACCCATATTGACAGTTGATTTGTCCACAGGGTTCAAGACCCAGTGGATCTCAGATTGAAGAGGCTATGTATAACTTAAGCTGTTACAACCCTTCTTCCTTTACCCTTGTTGGAATACCAGGACTGGAGAAGATCCACATCTGGATTGGAATTCCTTTCTGCATCATCTATGTTGTGGCTATTGTTGGCAACTGCATACTCCTCTACCTCATTGCAGTTGAGCATAGCCTCCACGAGCCCATGTTTTTTTTCCTCTCTATGCTGGCCACCACAGACCTCGTCTTGTCTACTGCCACAGTGCCCAAGCTCCTCAGTAACCTGTGGCTTGGTTCTCAGGAAATAACTTTCTCCGGCTGTCTCACTCAGATGTTCTTCCTCCACTTCAGCTTTGTAGTGGACTCTGCCATCCTGCTGGCGATGGCATTTGATCGTTATGTGGCCATCTGCTTCCCTTTGAGGTATAACACCATCCTGACTCCAAAGGTGATCATCAAGCTTGTGGTGAGCATTATTGTTAGGAGCTTCTCTGTCATACTTCCGGATGTTTTTCTGCTGAAACGCTTGCCTTTCTGCAAAACAAGGGTCATCCCACACACATACTGTGAGCATATAGGAGTCGCTAGGCTTTCCTCTGCTGACATTTCCATCAACATCTGGTATGGATTTGCTGTACCACTCATGACTGTCATCTCAGATGTGATCTTTATTACAGTTTCCTATGCCTTCATCCTCCGTGCTGTCTTTCAGCTCTCATCCCAGGGTGCCCGCCAAAAGGCCCTTAGCACCTGTGGATCCCATGTCTGTGTCATCCTTATGTTTTACACACCTGCTTTCTTCTCCATTCTTGCCCATCGCTTTGGACACAGTGTCCCTAGACATGTGCTCATCTTATTCGCCAACCTATATGTGGCCATCCCTCCTGCACTAAATCCTATTGTTTATGGAGTAAAGACCAAGCAAATTCAGGAAAAATTTATTCTCCTTTTCTCTTTGAAGAAGAAGAAATGAGTGAGAAGGACCACCAAAGAAGAATTTTAGTTAAAACAGACTTGGTGAAATTTTATATTCTGTGAGATGCTATAAAAGAAAACTTTAATTCTTATTAACTTGAAATCTCCTACTTGTATACAAAGAACGCAGGAGGGGTATGACATACTAAAATAAATATCTTCTGCACTTAATGTAACTATTAAAAACTGTTAATTTTATGTTTTTCTTTTCCACACCTATACTGTGAACTTCTTGAAGGCAGAAACTTAATCCTATACGTATTCATATATTTTTTTTTCCTATAAAAGTACCGAGAACACCATGTATTCCCAAGAAATGTTTAATGTATATTAAAACTATATCGGAAACTCTTTTCTCCATGTCATTATTCCTAATTGTTCCTTTCTTCCCTCTCCATCCAATTTGTCATTGATGTCAGTAAATGTCGTTGTGGCTAGTGACCCTCTGAACAACAAATATGAACTCTGTGCTATCCTGCATAATCCTTATTATCACTAACACATTTGTGCCCATTGCTGCAGACACTGTATCAGGCCGTATTATTTTAATTACATATGCTGGTATAACAAAAATATCACAAGTACATGTCTTTAAGAAACACAACTTTATTTTATCACAATGTGTACTCTAGAAATCTGAGTGCAAAGCCCTTGAGGAAGACTCTTGTCCCTTGAGATTCTATTCCTTGGCAATCATCAGGTGGCTTGGTACCTATTTTGTCCATTTCTGCTGGCTTGCTTTATAGATAGCTCACTTTGTCTCCTCCCTCAAAAAAAAAAAAAAGAGAGAGAGAGATTAAGATACATTCTATACTGCTTCAGAAAGCTCTGTTGGTGAAGTCCACAGGGAATGGTGCTGCTAACCTAAAGGTGGTGCTTCTCTGTAAGTTCAAATCCACCAGCAACCCTGTGGGAGAAAGGTGGACACTCTCCTCCCATACAATCTATAACACCTAAACTCTTGTTGGGTAGCCAGCTAGGAGTTGGTTCTGGCAAAAGAGCATTAAGTGATAGAGTGACTGCAATGCCTCCTTCATGTCAAAGAAAACCCATACACAAAGAGAATTATAACCACAGGTATAATCAAAAGAAATACATTTGTTCCAGCTAATGTAGATCATCCAGGTTTCTGAAGCTAAAGATCTTTATGAGAGGAAATGCCCATCTTTCTCCCACAGAACAGCAGGAAGGTTAGGATTGCTGACGTTTCATTTAGCAGAACAACTCACAGCACTGTACCACCCACACTCCTTAAAACACAGGTTTGGGAGTTAGGATTTACTGCACGCATTTCAGTGGAACCCTTTTGGCATAGTCTAGGGAATTGCTGATATTGAGCTTCTCCAGTGATTCTTTCCACAGATGTGGTCAATCTGATTTCCATGAAGACCATCAGGTGACATTCCTGTGTATAGCTTCCATCTATGTTTCTTAAAAATATTTGCTATTAATAAATTATTGAACGTATAAAATTCAGTCATTCAATATCTAGCCTCATTCCTGTCCCCAAGTCCATAATTTCCAACTACAAATCCTTTTACTTTGATTCCAACTTTTGTATTCCAGTCATCAATTATTACTGCGTTTTGATGGCAATAATGATCGGTCAATATCAGGTGTCAAAACCCGGCCACGTCTTGACGGTGGAATAGACCACAAATTGCACATGTGCAAGTTCAAATGAAATTTTAAGAAAATGGAAACAAGTCTACAAAATCAAAGTATAGCCTTATGTGTATCCCATATGAATTTAAAAATCTACTGAACAATAGGTTTGAAGTATAGAACACTAATGATCAAAAACCAAAGAAATCATCAATGAAGAGGTCAAAAGCTCATTACAAAGACATAGCATAAAGACCAAATTGAATGTCACAAGAGACTCTGAAAAGTGCACTAGAGCATCAAGAAGCCAAAACAAAGGGAGAGAAACCAAAGTAAAAGAGATAAACAAAAGATTTATAAGGGGAGTTCAAGAAGACAAAGCAAAGTATTATAATAAAATGTGTAAAGAACTGGAGTTAAAGGTTAAAAAGAGAAGAACTCACTCAGCATTTCTCAAATTGAAAGAACTGAAAAATCAAGTTTCGAGTTGCAACACTTAGAGGTAGAGGGAACAAATGGAGTCACTGTACACAAACGAAATAGTTGACACTGAAAATTTAAGGATATAGCATATGATCAAGACCCAATGGTGGTGAGGGAAGAAGTTCAAACTACATTGAAAGCATTGGCAAAAAATGAGGTGCGAGGAATTGATGTGATACCAACTGACATGTTTTAATTAATGGATGAAGCTCTGGGCATGATCACCAGTCTGTGCCAGGAAATTTGGAAGAAAACTATATGGCCAAATGGAAGAGATCTCTATTTCTTCCCATTCCCAAGAGGAGTGACCCGATAGAATGTGGTAAGGAGTGGCAGTACTTTTCTCATGGTTCAAAACCACTAGGTGATGGACAGTCTTCTCCAGTATGACTTACAGCCTTGGTAAACTAATGGAAGGTCAATTTTGAGTAGATTTCCACTTAATGGCAATGTATTTTTTTAGTGAGTACATAGATTTAATGGTATTTTTCAATAAGTACATACTTTATTGTTGTTGTTAAGTGACATCAAGTCAACTAAAACTCACAGCAACCCTGTGAACAACGGCTCTGAACCTGTCCTATCCTGTGCCTCTCTCATCATCTCTGGCATACTTGAGTTCTCTATTACAGTCACTCTGTCAATCCATCACATTGAGGATCTTCCCCTCCTTTGCTGACTCCTCTCCTTTCAAAGCATGATGCCCCTTTCCAAGGACTGGCCTCTCCTAACAACATATCCAAAACATATGAGACACAGATTCACTATCTTTGTCTCTAAGGAGCACCCTGGCTGTACCTTTTCTAAGACATATTTATTTGTTGTTTTGGCAGTGTATGGGACATTCAGTACTCTTCTCCAAAACCACAACTCAAAGGCATCAATTCTTCTATCATCTGTTTCATTGTCCTACTTTCAAGTGCCCAGCAAGAAGTTGAAATGATCATGGTTTGGAACAGGTGCACTGTAGTCTTCAAACTGACATCATTGATCTTCCGCACTTGAAGAGGTCTTAGACAGTAGACTTTCCCAATGCAACACATCTTTTGAGTTCTTGGCCACTGGTACCAAGGGTTTTGACTGAGGACCCAACAAGCAAGATTAAATCATTGACAATTTCTATCTCTTTTCCATATATCATTATACCACCTATAGAGCTGGTGGTACCTATTTAAGAGGAACACATTCAACACATTCAATCCATGATACCCATTATTCCAGTTATTTTTCAGCTTGTATTCTGAACTCATTTCTCTACTTCATTCACCTGGAAAAATATTTAAGGAATATTGATAATATCAATTGTATGTTTTGGAGAAGTTAGAAAAAAATGACCATTCAGGGCAGATTAGTACTAGCATGGAGTTAAGACAATAGTAGTCTGACCAGGCTCTACTAGTTTCAACTTCTTTTTTTTTCTTCAGCTCAACATAATTCATTTATTTCTTATTGTTGTTTTGTTTTTTTAATTTATTATTAATTTCAATGAAAATTTACAGAGACTTTGGATTTCCATTCATTCATTGTTACACTTTTCTCCCCTCACAATCCCCCCCACAGTACACTAACTACCCTCTTGGAAAAGTAAAAGAAAAATTCTTTCATTGTTTTACAATCCCTCCCCCCAAGTCCACTCCACTATGCAGCCTTCATTCTGGACTCCTGTCATGACAAAAGCACCTAATCACATATCCCTTTTAAAAAGTTTTCTCCCTCATCTGTTTCAATGCAGTATACATTATTGAACCCATCTTTCTCAGTCTCCCCCCAACCCCAAGGTCAGTCCTGTTTTACAACAGTTTCAACTTCTTAAATGCACCAGTCATGTTCTTGTCCATTACTTACATATAAAATACTTAGCTTTTTAACTTCTGTTTTACACGGGCAACTCCTAATTAGGCTTCCATTTAAAATCTTTCCTCAAAAATGCCATCATTACTCCTACATAGATTCAGTTATTGCTGTGGAATCAGAACAAACTCATGGCTGACTGTCCAGCAGGGTTTTGGAGGCTGTAAATCACAAAGGCGATCCTTCTTCTTTCTCCTGCAGAGTCACTAATGGATTTGAACTTGAAAAGTGGTGCTACCTGGAGATGGGAACAGTACAGCTCCCTATGGACTATGCCATGGACTGTACATACTACAGTAGTATTTTTTTCTGTATATTTTTATTATATTATATTTTATAGCACTTATTATATGTTATTAAAGTGATTTGTTAAACAATTATTTAATTCCTTTCCTTACCAGCTGGTCATTGAGAATCAAGTCAGGCACTATTTTGTTTATTATTGTATTCTCCTTACATGCAAACTTCACAACAAACATATAGTAGATATTCAGTAAGTTTTTGCAGAATGAATGAATTAAACTTCTGTTTTATGTGGTAAGAATTTGCCCAATTTTATAAAGCAACCTGATAAGAAGCCCAATTCATATTATTATTGTTAAATAGCTTAGAATAGCCTGTGACTCATAGCAACCCTAGATACAATAGCTCTGGACCCTGCCCTATCTACTCTTAGCCAGTCTCACTGTCTCTCACATACCTACTCCCATTACCCTAGTTATTATGTAAATTCACCTCATCTGGGGTCTTCCTCTCCTGCGCTGTCCCTCCATCCTTCCAAGCATGATAGCCTTCTCCAAGGACTGGTCCTTCCTGGACATGTGCCTAAAGCGTATGAGACAGAGTTTAAAAATCCTTGCCTTCTTGGAGCAGCTTGGTTTCACCCTCTGTAATTACTGGTTATAATCAGTAATTCTGGATGTTAAGGAAAATGTTTTTGTTCTTTATACTTAGAGATATTTATACTTATTTCTTAGAAATCTTTTTTGAATTAAAAATATATAGGTTATTACTTTTGTTTCCACAAATGTGGAAACTGATTTCCAGGGTAATGGAATA